CTCTGCACTCTGTTGATTTCTTTTGCTGTATAGAACCTTTTCTTTTGATGCAATGTCCTTTGGCAATCTTTGTGTTTCATGCGATTTAGTGTTCTTACCCAGAAAATCACTGATTTCACTGATGTCTTGAATCATTTCTCTTTTTATTTTAAAGAGAAAAAAATTAAAAATAACAATAAAACAGAGTTTCAAAACAAGTTAGTAGCCCGGCACGGTGGTGCACGCCTGTAACCACAGCACTCCGGAGGCTGAGGCAGAAGGATCGTTGCAAGATCGAGACCAGCTTGAGCTACAAAATGAGCTCAAGGTCAGCCTGAACTGCATAGCAAGACCCTGTCTCAAAAAGACTAAATACATACATACATACAAGTTAGGACAGTAACAATAATTAGTACATTGCATATTGTTGTCTACACAGTAGCTATTCAGAGTACAAGATGTAGGCATGAAATATTGTCCAAGCAAGATTAGCACAGATCTTTCTTTCCAATGAACTAAGAGAAAATAGCTGTATTACTATCTTAACTATCTTGTGTATATATACATTTTTTCCCCTTCCTTCCTTTCCCTTTTCCCCTCTTAAGTTTTCTTCTAGTTCTTTTAAAATCTCAGGTCTTACATTTAGCTCTATGATCCATCTTGAGTTGATGTTTGTACAAGGTGAGATATAGGCGGCAAGTTTCAATGCGCTGAGCCTCTGTGGTGGATTGACAACTGGTGGTCAACTTTTAACACACAGCTGAACTGAACCAGCATGGAGCTGGGAATGGGGCGGGGGGCACCTGAGGATTGTTCCTGGATGCATAAGAGGTAGAACTGGACAGGAAGAAATTTAGAAGCTGTTGCAAGGGCCTGGGAGCTGTTGGAAGCTGTATGTTTTCCTAGAACAGCTTGTCACACTCGTTTTCCTGATGAACTCAGCTGCTCTCATTGTTGAAGGAGCTCAGGACCTTCCTGTTGCTGAGAATGGCTATAGTTCACTTTGTGGGAGCTCTGGTCCTTACTTTGAGCATCTCATGCTGACTCTGGAGGGAAAGACGGTGCACTGTTCAGTCTCCTGGAGAAGTCTGTCATGTTGGCTTGCCTGATGGGAACTCGGCTGTTCTTGTCACTGGAGGAGCTCAGGACCTCACTGTCACTGAGGATGGTTGTGGTACTTTTCAGGGAAGCTCTGGTTCTCACTTTGAGAGTGGCTTCCTGGCTCCAGTGCAGATCCCTCAGCCCACTAGCACAGAGCCTTCATCCCGCTGGCGCAGATGTTCTAGCTTCCACCGCTGACCTTTGGGTCTTCCCAGCACAGATCCCTGAAACAGGCCTGCGTGAGACATTGCTGTGGGCTCTCGGTCTCCAGTTGGATTCAAGGGGGGCATTGTTATGGGCTCTTGGTCTTCAGCTGGACTCATGCAGGACATTAACATGGGATCCCGGCCCTCAGCTGGATTCTTTGGTGTTTACTGCGTGGACAGATTTCCTGTACTCTTTTTTGTATATGATTCTTTGGGTGACTGTTACAAGATAATCCTATAAATTATGTGTCCTGTATTGTTCCCCTTGCAAAACCCCAAACTACAACAAAATGGATATTTAGTTTTCACAGGACCATTTGTAGAAGAGTCTATCCTATCTCCAGTGTATTTTTTGGGAACTTGGTGAAGAATCAGTTTCATGTAGGTGCACTGGTTTACTTCCAAGATCTCTCTTCTGTTCCAATGGTGTATGTGTTTGCTCTTATGCAAATGCCATATTGTTGTGGTTGGAATTGATTTGCAGTATCCCTTGAAATGAAGTGTTGCAGTGTTTATAGTTATGTCTTTTAACATGAGGTTGCTTTTGCTACTTGAATCTTTTGTGTTTTTATATGAATATTAGGATTCTTTCTTCTAGTTCTATGCACAATGCCATAGTTACTTTGAAGGAGATTGCATTGAATCTGAAGGTTGTTTTCAGGAGTATGACCATTTTCACAAAATGAATTCTTCTACTCCATAACCGTGTCTGGCCTCTCCAAATTTTAATTTCCACATCAATTTGTTTCAACAATATTTTTCAGGTTTCACTGTAGAGGATATTCATTTCCTTAGTTAAGTTAAAATGAGGGACATTTACTTTCTGGTGGGTATTTAAAGTGAAATTTTATTATTGCTTTCTCAGCAAATTCACCTTGGTGTATAGAAAATCTCTCATTTTTGTGTTGATTTCATATCATGCCATTTTGCTGAATGCATTTATCACTTCTAAGAGTCACTTGGCAAAGTCTATAGATTTTACTGCATATAGATCAAATAATCTGCAAAGAGGGAAATTGGATTTCTTTCTATTCCTATGCCTGTAATTGCTCTGGCTAATTGCCCTGGATAAACATAGTTTTTCAGACTGGAGAGTGACATGGTCTAGACCAGGATGTGTTTCAAGAGCCTCGTGCACTCATTGGTGGGGCTTTTAGAAGGTGACTGCACCATGGGAGCAATGTAACTGACTTGCTTTTAGGAGATGAGGCCCGTTTGGAAGAGGCGGTTCACTAGGGGCATGACCTGGAAGGAACACCTCAAGTCATGAATACTTTTGTTTGTAAACAATTCGGTTCACAAACAAAAGCATTTGGCAAAATTTTTGTTCCATACACAAATTCCACATCATGAGACCAACACAACTGTGGCCATCTTCCCCTTACCAACACAAACACAAACCCAGCTTCCCCCAAATTGTAAAACAAATTAAGCTTGTAAACTGAGGCACCACTGTATCTCCCTCCCTGGCTCCTCCCTTTACTCTGCCTCTTAGACACCATGACATGAGCAGCTTTTATCCAGTATGCTCCTCTGCCATGAGGTTCTGCTTTGGAGCCAGTACACCACGGGCTGGGTTTCAGTTGTGCTTTGGTACCATTTCTTTTTATCCCTGTATTCCTCCCTTTTAGAATGGAAACATTTACACTGTGCCATTGTATGCTGGTAAAGTTTAACTTTCTTTGTGATTTCTAGGGACTGTTCACAGCTGAGTTTGCCTTGAGTCTCAGAGGAGACTTTCAAACCTGGATTTCCAGCAATTTGGAAACTGTAGACTTTGGCAACTCTTGGAGATGGACTAAACGGATTGTGTATAAAGAGATGCACATGAGTCTTTGGGGAACCAAGAGAAGAATGCTATGGAATAAATACAGTGTCCCCACAAGCCCTTATGTACTCATAGGCAGGGTATTTATAAAATGCATGGGTCATAGGTTCGCAGATGAGTGGGCTGTCAGAATGTGAAGCCTGATCTGAAGAGGCTGACCACTGCTTACATGACTTAGGAGGTATATTACTCTCCCTCATTCCTCACTCCTCTCTTTGCTTCCTGGAAACCCTGACTTGAGCAGCTTTCCTCCACCATACCTTTCTACACTGCTTTCTTGCCATGAAGCTATGGATTAAAACCTTGAACCAGCATCAACTCCTCCTTTTTATCATGGGTGTCTAATATCATGTCCAAACAATGGAAAAGAAGACACAGTTTCGTACCAAGACAGCTACTGGATCCTCTAGCTAGCCAGCATGCAGATGTCCATTATAAATTCTTCCATGTCTCTCCGGGAGACAGCTATTAAGGCTCTTCTGACTCTGGGATCTTATAAGCCTACCTCACAAATCCCTTGTATAATCATATGTATAATTGGTATTGAATCTGTTTCTCTATTTAATACTAACTCATACACACATAGTTGTCTTTTTCCTTATTTTGAATGAAATAATTCATTTTTCCCCAATAAGTAGGATGTAAGCTCTGGGTCATATATTGCCTTAATTATGATAAGGTATGATGTCTCTACACCTAACTTGTTCCTGGCTTTTATAAGAAAGAGGTGTTGAACATTATCATCAACTCTATCAAATATATACAAACATAGCAAGGTTTGCATTATACTAACTTATAGAGAGTGACAATTTTCATGGTTGTACTCAAGCTAGCAATATGACAACACTCAACATGGAGTTGGGAAGATATGTGCAAAGTGTCATTTTTTTAGATGGTCTTGTTTCATTCGGGCTGATATTCATGTGTCCTTTTGTGTGGATTCATTCCTGCCTTTCCTTCTGAATGCAGTCCTGTTCTTTCCACCCACCATATACAACTTGTATAAACCTCATGGTGTTTATTCTTTGTACTTTTCTCCAAATGCTTACCATAATACAAAAATGTACAGTCAGTTATATTTATCTATACAGATAAGCATAGACATAGAAATATGGGAGAAAGTGTCATTGTTTTGTTTACCATCATAGATTGTATTACAATGACTTCTTTGTATTTCTCACTTATTGCTCACTAACATTTGGGAAAGTATCATGAAATTAATGAGCAGAAATATTTCTACATACATTACTCAACACGCACTTTTTCTCAATCATTAACTGTTCCCAGTAGTCTACCTCTAGCAAAATGATACTGTGACTGTTTTGAAAAATAAAAACAAACCAAAAAGTACAGGAACCCAATGGAATAATTATTAATGCTCTAAATGGGAACAGAGACCCTGAGCTTAGAAACCCTGAAACAAGTCCTGTGACTGATGCTCATTTCCATCTACTTAGCAGCCTGATATCCTTTCAGAGCAACAGCCCTTTTTGCTGAAGAAAGCCCAACCCAGTCAAATGTTTTGTTGAGACGTGAAAGTGGGGCGGCACTCCTGCTTTGCCCTCATTTCTTGGCCTCCACACACGTTCCTTAGGGACTGTGTGTCTCTTGTGCAGTGGATCAATCAGAATCACCAAAGATAGTAATATAAAATAACCAGTATTGGCTCCTAATGAACAGCTTCCAAATAGGAGACTCAGGTTCATTTAACTCCAACCCTTGCAAGTGGACACAGGGTCAATAAGTAATAGAAAGTTTTCTGAGGAGAAAACCATTTAAGAGCTCATGTAACAAGAATGGTGGCTGAGAAGCACGTAAAGATTCCTGATATGGAGCAGAAAGTATTCTGGAGGTATAAAGAACAGACTGAAGCCTGACATGGGACAGCTCCTTTATTGAACTCTCAACCAAAGTCCCAGGGAGGAGGTCACCTCCTACTGCTGCTACCGTCACAGGGCATTTGGAGATGTCCTCCAGGCCCCCCGTCCAGCATCTTCTAAAAGCACTTTCTCTGTACCACAGAACTCCCAAACTCCTTGAAATCTGCAGAGGTGACCCACATTTGCTGGAAACTGCTTAGGGAGGCCATGACAGAGGCACCAATCCACGTAGAGAAACATCTGTGAGGAGAAGCCGTGATCTTGACGGGGGTCCCTTCGGAAGCCACATGTTCCAGTTCCTTCATGAGCCTTTCCACCAGCCCAGGGAACAATGTGGAGCCCCCAGCTAGCACAATATTTCCAAAAAGGCTCCTTTGGATGTCCATATCACACTTCAGTATGCTGTTGCAGACCATTTTTGAGAGTCCCGGGTCGTGGATGTCCAAAAGGTCAGGAGAAAAAAGTACCTCAGGCACCCAGCGCAGACGATCTCTGATGTAGATGACATTCCCATCTGGCAGTCTGTACTTGGTCAAGACCTTCTTCTGCCTCCTGTGTGGCGTTTTCTTGAGCTCGAAGGTGACATAGCACAGTTTCTCTTTGATTGCTTCCCCCACAGCCTTGTTAAGCAAGCAAGAATAAGTACATCCTTCGGCCAGGAGGAGGAGCGTGAGATGCTCTGTGATATCCCTCCCTGCCACAGGGAGCTTGTAGACTGCGTGAGGCAGAGAGGAACCTTCAAAGACGGGGACGGTGCAAGTGACCCCTTCCCCGCTGTCCACCACCACGCCCGTGACAGAGCCACAGGCGGAGAGTGCTGGCACCGCATGGTTGCACAGGTGCAGGGCAGGCACGCTAAATTTCTCAAACATGACTTCAGTGGTTTGCTCACGCACCTCTCTTGGGTTCAAGGAGGGTTCAGTCATCAGTACTGGTTGGTCACTGGGTTTAACTCTCAGCAACCGCTGGAAAAGGTATTTCCAGAGTTTCTCCATGTCATCCCATCTTGCTATTATTCCACGCTCAACAGGGTAGTGCAAATTCAAGGCTTCACGCTTATACTGGGCTTCCACTCCTACGAAGTATTTCCTCTGACTGGTCCTTGATGAGGGTATATTCAATTTAGGGTGACCCACAACAGAGTTGATGACATGACTGGGAACAATATCGCTACACAGTCCCACTCTGCAGAGCCCGGAACCATTGTCAAAAACCACTGCCGGGCTTTCCAGTTCACATGGAGTGGACATGTTGGCATGCGGTCTCTTGCAGCTCACACAATAAAGAAGACTTGAGCCACTTTGAAGGACAATAGGTCCCTCTGGAAAAACTAAAGCCACAGGATTCTGAAGTTCTCAAGCTGCCTACCTGGTGAAGCTAGCAGGCTATTCCCAATCCACCAGAATGACCTGTCCTTGACCCATGAATGCTGTCTCCTTTCTGGAGGCCCAGGGATTGCTGAGGCTATTTCATAGCTGGTTGCCTGCTGTGTCACAATGTAGCCAAGGCAACAATTTTCCCCAGTTGGTGTCAGCCGGGAGGGACCCCTGAGCCAGGAGCACAGCCTACTTCGTGAGATATGAAGCAAACACATCTGTGCACAGCTATGACCGATCTTAGAAACCAAAGCAGAAGCCTAATTTAGACCAAACAGAGGCGGTAACACCGTGAGCCTGTCCCAGACAACTGCCTTCTATGCTCTGCTGAGCTGCTGCATGTCCATGACACCCCCACAGAAAAAAGGGCCCTTTCTTTTGCCCAGGGGAGGAGCAAAGCATCAGGCACAAATTCAGGTTTAAAAGGAATGGCCACAATTCACTCAAAATACTCTGTCTTTTATTTCCTTTACATTTGTTTTCTTGTTGTTAACTGTTTAATGACATAAATGTCACATACCATATAATTCATCCAATTTTAGTGATTTTACTATACTTCCATTCCTATGACCTCAGATCTTCACAGATGTATTGAAACCTGAAAAAAATCAACTTTGGAAAATTTTCTTCACCTCACAGGAGAATCCCCCTACACTTTAGCTGTGGGCTATAATCAAACCATACTTCAGAGCCATGAGCATCAGTAAAAGCATTTTCTGGCTTGGTAGATTTCATGTTTTCTGCATTTCTCCTATAAATGGAATAACTTTATGTATGACCCTTTATCTCTGGCATCATTCACTCTTCACAGCTCCTGTTTTCTTCCGTGACTTGCATTTTCAGTTCTTCTATTTCCCACATTTGGAGTTAACTTTTGCATATAGTGTGAGTTATGTTTCCAATTTCATTCCTTTCAATGTGGCCAGCCAGTTACTTGAGTACCATCTGTTGAGGAGACCACAATTACCCCCACTGAGTGGTTAGCATCCTTGTCACGAAATAGCTCACCATGGATTCATGTGTTCATTTCTGTACTTTCAGTTGTATTCTGTTTGCCTATATTTCTATTATTATGCCAGCAATATGTATCATACATTGTTGTTGCTGTATGATAGATTCTCAAATTAGGAAGTGTTAGTCTTCCTTCTTCCTTTTTTTTTTTTTCTCAAGATGGACTGGGACACTCAGTGTTCCTTTCTATTCCATATGAATTTTATGATCAGCTTGTCAATTTCTACCAAGAATTCATCTGGAGTTTTGATAGGGTTTGCCTTGAATCACTAACACATAGGGGAATATTATCATCTTAGTACTATCACCCCTCCCAGTCTATGAACATAAGCTGCTTTGTGCATGTATTTTGATCAATACTTTAAATAGTATTGTCAGGTTCATACAGACTACTTCTGTCAAAATTATTCCTAAGAATTTTGTTACCTGTATCTTATAATTGGAATTCTTCTATTAAACTGACTTTCACATAGTGTAGTGAAGGCTGTAGAGAAATGATTTTTCTGTATACATACACAGAAATGCACTGGGAAATCTTGCTGAACCTAATTTGTTTTGACTCTGATTTTTATCTATGTGATTTACCTATTATTTATATTTTATATAAATATAATTTTAACTTAACAGAAATAATTTAATACAACTATAAATTTATATTCATTAGTAAATATGTATTTATTAAAGGTATTTATGCTTCCTTCTCATCTACAAATATATGTAGATGATATATCTATATCTATATCTAGATATCTATATAAATTTCTTCTTTTCCAAAATGCACACCTTTCGTTTCTTTTTCTTGGCTAAGTGCCCCTGCTAGAAGTTACAGTGAAATGATGAATAGAAATGCTGACTTATTCTTGATTTAAAGGGGAAATTATCACGTCTTTTACACTACTATCTTTGTTGTGGGTTATTTACAGATGTGATTTTTCATCTTGAGGATGTTTTCTTCTCTTTCTAATTTTAAGCATTTTAGTGTGGAAAGGTTACAGATTTTTATCAAATGCTCCATGTGTATGTGTGGAAACAATCACATTCATTATAGCTTTCGTCTAATGCTATGTGGTACTATAGTCCCTGATTTTCAGATGTTGGATAAACCTTTGTTACAGAGGTCAATCTCACTTGGGTATTGTACACATCTTTTTATACATATGGCTGGATTTGGCATGTAGTATTTTAGTGAGAGCTTCCATGTATGTACTGATCATTTGTATTGATCCATAGTTTGCTTGCCTTGTGATATCCTTATCTGATTTGGTATCAGGATACTTTGGGCCAAATAGAATGAGCTAAGCAGAAATCTCTCAGCCTTTATTATTTGGTAGAGTTTATAAAGAATTTATACTGTTTCTTCAAATATTTTGTAGAATTGAGTGAAGCCATCTGGTCCTCCCATTTTCTGTAGGAGTAGTTTGTTGTTTATTAATTCAATCCCTTATGTGGTATAGACATATTCACACTTTTTTTCCACAGTCAGTTTTAGGTATCTGTGTCTTCCTAGGAATTTCGCCATTTCACCTGTGTTATATGAGCTATGATATACTATTACTAATAACATCCCCTTATGACCATTGTTTCTGGAAGATATTTGGTAATAATCCCTCCACTTTGTTTCACTTTTTAAAAGAAATGCTTTTCGTTTCAATAACTTCCCTATTTTTATTCTGTGATTCAGTAACTTCTGCTCTAATGTCATTACTGGGCTCCTTCTTTAGTTCACTCTTGTGTTTCTAGTGCCTACAGCTTAAAGTTAAAACGTGGATGTGAGATCTTTGTTGTGTTGGGATGGAGACTGTGGTCAGCCATCTGCTGTGTCTTAATTTGCTAAGCTACCATACCCAGGTCTGTGGCCAATACGGGATCAAGTTTTGGGGGAATTTTGTACATATGATTAACTTTTATAATTAGCTGATTTAAATAAGTTAGACGGTGGACACCATCCAATCAATTGAAGGCCTGCATAGGAAATAGTAGCTTCTGTGGAGAAGAAGGAAATCTGCCTCAGGACTGTCACAGGGACACCTAGAGTGACTTTGCAGCGTGCTGGCCTACCCTGAAAGTCTGGGACTTGTCATTCTTACATTGTACCAGTCCACGTCTGTAGTGCATAATGATTACACCCATCACGAGCAGTTGGTACATGTATGCAACACTTCTTAATTCTTTTTACGTCCCTTTCTCCTCCCCTTCCTCCTCCCTCCCCCATCGCTTGGTCGTCTTCTGGTTAGCAAGCCTTTAATTTTGAAGAAATTATTGAGACAGATTCTTTGGCCGGTCTATGGGTGGTGCAGAGCAATAGGAGCTGGATGTGGAATCAAGTGAGCCCAGGGTGATGGGTACAGACTCAAACCAGACCGGTGTTAGTGCTGTGTGCTGGGTGAGTGTCCTAGTTGGTGTGGAACAAACTTGTGGCCCTCAGTGGTGACTCGGGCATTCCCAGGGCCCAATAGTGAAGACTCCAGGCACAGGCAACATTTGCTTGCTTGTCTTCACGGAGTCTGAGACTGGGTGGCTGGGAGGAAACCTCTCCTGCCCCCGACCTCTTGCCCGTGGTGTGTGCTGGCAAAGACGTTGCTGGGCTGCAGATGTCCCTTCCTTTTAATGAGATTTGTTCTGGCTATTTAGCCCGGGCTGCCCTAGTGCTCCTGGACTCAGGGCATCCTCCTGTTGTGGGGACCTGTCCTAGATTCTATTCCAACCACAACCTCTTCCCACCCCAACACACCATGGACCCGCTTCACCTGCCTAGGCTGATTCCCACTACCAATCTTAGATCCCTGGATCTGCTGCTCCAGAGACACTCCAACATCCCACAGGAGACACAAGCTCTTCCACACCCCTTGTTCCTGGACTTCCATGGGACCCATGGTGGCCTTAGGTGGAGGCTGCCAGGCTCCACCCTGAGCTCCAACTCCACCCCACTCCTGCCAGCCCATGCTTTTCTCCTGGGAAACTGGAGGCCCTTACATGCCAGTCTCCAGAGAACCCACCTCGCCTGAGAGCTGAGGGCCAACACATATTCCCACTGGGACTTTCTTCAAGTTTTTCCCAGAGTCAAACCCTGGACTTGGTGCACGGAGACCCTTCATGGAGGACACAGGGTGGCAAAGAGTGCAGGGCTGAGCTTGCTCCCACTCTCTGTCTCCTTCAAACCTAGCTGCATACAGAACCCCTACATGGAAACCATGGCCGCACTCACAAAGCACCAGCCAGGAAATCAGTCCTCCTGTAGCCCTGCACCAGACTGGTCCTGCACTATGATCAGGGCATCCCTTTCCTTGAACCTTAACTGACCTTTGATTGGCCAATGGACCAAACCACAGCTCCGTAGCAGAACCTGTGTGGCCCTTCACCATCTGATCTGTATCTGTCCCTGCAGATCCCCAGAGTCCCTATACAACTCCCTGTCTATGGCCACCTTCCACTCAGACATAGACTGCTAGCTCCTCATCCACACCTGTCTGAATCTGCATTGTCTTTCTCTTTCTATCACTGGTGTATCCCCAGAGACCACCTAAGAATCTCCCATTTTCCAAAACCCAAGCCATTCCTTTCACCCTGCACACTTCATAGGGTCCCTATGCATATGGGAGTCAACTGCATTATAGTTCTCAGGGACACACACCCATTTTAATTAATATAGCACTGACCATATTGCCGTTACTCAAGGAATACTATTTAAGTTCAAGTTTAACATCAGTAAAGCGCCTACTGAGTGTCAGGTACTACATAAGATCCACAATGAGGCTTACTGTTGCTTGCACGGTGGCACAGGTCCGTAATCTCAGCTCCTGGAGAGGCTGAGACAGGAGGGTCATAAGTTCAAGAGCTGCCTGGGCAACTTGGGGAGCATTCTCAATAAATAAATAAATAAACAAATAAATGACTACGGCTGGGGATGCAGCTCAGTGGTACAGCCCCCTCAGTTCAGGCTTTTCACGTTGCTTAAACCAGTCCTTGCCTTCATTTCAGCCCACATCTGTATTTAATATTATATTGCATTTTGCCTTAAATAATTGTCCCCCCAAAATAAAAAAG